ATTTAAATACTTTATTGTTGCCTGGAAATAGCTCACAGGTTTCCAACTTTCAAGCTCCTTTTAGAGGGGGAGTATTACATCCAGGATGTAATTAAGCCTTCATTATTAGGAATATTTACTTTTCAGGGACCCAGCAGGGTTTCCAGCATGCCAAAAGATTGTTTGGACCTTTTCAGAGGGTAGCCAAGTAATGTGGCAGAAGATAAAAAACACAAGGAGCCAGAAGGACTAGAGTATTTTTTCAAGAATTGGCTGAACATAACTAAAGAAACTGGAAACTAGTAGTGAGGAAAGGAATTAAAAAATAAATTTTAAAAAGGACGAAAAAAGCTCAGTCTTTGAATTTGAACAGTGTGTACTGGACATTTCAGAAAGCATTCCAGATACTGCCAAAGACTTTCTATCGGACATTTGAAAACACTCCCCCAAAACTGCAAAGATATTATCTTGTTAAGATTTTGTAACAGTAGAAGTACAAAGCAACCACGGGCCATGAACACAAACATTTACTGAATCTGTACCTTGCGGAAGAATGCATATGTTTTGGCACATGTCATTATCGTTCCTCCAAAGGAAAAAGCCACTCACAGATATAAAAGGCAGGAACTTTCACTTTGCTCACTCAGGCTGAAAACGTGTACATCCCTTGATGGGGCAACTTATATCATAGCAAGTCATTAAACATAAAGAACTGATGTAATGAAAGCATCTCTACTTCCACTCCCATACTCTTGCCTGCTGTTTGAATATCTATGGGTTCCTTTTCCTATATTCAACTACCTCACCAGAGGACCCTTCTCGTGGAGCTCGCCTCCCCAGGAGCGGGAAGGTGTGCCCCTTTTCTCTCTAGCACTGGACCTGGCAAAGACACATGGAACTTTTCTGGAAAGGCGAGTGTTCCAAGCATGCCTAGCTTATTCTGGTACGTATATTGCCATTCAGTCTTCCCACGTCTGAAGCACTTATCATACAAAATTGTAAGTCTAGATCATTAAGTTTAGAGGCTGAGTTTACAGGGTCCTTTTTATATAAAAGGATTCTCTAAATCTACAGTAAAACAAGAAAAAGAAAAGAATTTAGTGGTACTTATCATACTGAAGGACTACCTTGGAGTTAAAACGTTCCCCGTATCCATCTGTAACAATCTGTGGAAAATTTCAAGTAGGATTCCACCTTCTGGGTGGCACTACATCTGTGGGAACTCAAAGAGACGGCATCACTGATGGTACTGATCTGGCAGGCCCTAAAGGCCTGTTTGCAATGTTTACAAAAAGTCTGCTAACTCAGGTCTGACTTTTTCAGTAATAGTAGGGCGTCAGTAGTGTTGTAGTGCTATCAATTCTGTGGGTGTGTAGATAGAATATAAGATAAAGGAGAATATTTTCAGAAGCACTGCAGTGAGAAATCCACATCCCAAATTCAGATAAAAGGTGAAGTCCGCTCCTTTGGTAGCTAAGATGCATGACATAAACAGCAAAGATTTCATCAGACAAAGTGAAACATCACTGTTTTCAGTCATCCTTACAGCTTTTAACAAACTGCGAAAGACATGTTTTAAGTTATACAAGCACAAAAATTTCATGACATAAATGATACCATTCATAACGCAGAGAAATAAACGCAAAAGAGGTTAGAACACATTTTCTCATACTCCACAAATATTCAGAGGAGGTTTAACACACAAAATGGAATTTCTTCAGCAGCACTGATTAAACTCAAGATGAGGCAAGGATCTTCTTTACAATGTAAAGGCACCAGCTCTTTGTAAACACATACTCCTCTCACTTCAACTTAGAAAGCACTCAAAATATTCCATGGAGGCAACCTATGTGGTAGTGTTCCATTGCCTATAAATACTTCACAGTAGAGATCAAAGGCCTTTCTCCTCCTTTTTACTGTATTTAATAAGAATTGTTTTTCTTCACTTTAGCTAGCAGGAAACTCTTTAAATCTCCCTGGAAATGTTACAATGAATCTGTAAGTGTTTTCTCTTACTTGCCTTCTGATATCTATCAAGAAGTTTCAAGGCAAAAGAAGTATCAGATGCCAGTATGAAACACACGTTTGCAGTCATCTCTTGTTTTTAGTATTGTGCTATAGACAGTTTCCCAGAAGGAACCGTTGGCTTATATTAAAAATATTTTAAAAAAAAAGGAACTTGAAGATCCACCAGCTTTACAGTTATCTACTCTCTGACTTCTCAAATGCACTAGCAAAGACTGAACAAGACACTAACTACCTCTCAATTCTTTGGGGAAAAGAAGATTAGGTACTTCTGATCATGATGACCATACTTCAGGATTCCAGATTTTTTTCAAGTATGTATCCTGAATGTACATGTCTCCCTAGCGTGGAGACTATTCACACAGTTCTTTACTAATGAAACTGCAAAACTTGAAAACTGTTAAAAATAAATATTCCATACAAATTGAAACGGGTGAATTGCTTGCGTCTTGAGCAAAATAAACGGAGCATCTTCATAGTTTCCACTGCACAACTATCACCAACATTTTACTACCCATACACACAAATCTAGTGATTACACCAATTAACATTGTTCAGTATCCAACCAAACTTGTGCGTTTCTAAGTCACTTTCAGCTTTATAAAGCTGACTGAATTTTTAATGTAGTACTTTCAGGTTCTACAGGACTGTCAACTGGTACCTGGAAAGGGGGCGGAAAAAAAAAAAAAGCAGGAATTAAGCAGTTATTCAGCAGAAGCTATTCTCAATCTCAGTATTCTTGGGTAATTATTAGGTCAGACTCCAATAGTATATGTAGTTAATTAGGCAAATTGGGCATTTACAGAAAGCCCTATTGTCCCTTCTCTGTAATAAAACCAAAACAAACCACAGAATTGAGTTTCTTAGTATAACTCTAAACTATATACTGACGGCGTATAGATATTTATCATGTGGAGATTAACTTTTTTTTTTCTCCGTTACATTTAAACATGATAGAAACTTGATCAAAGTTTGGCATCAAAATGCTATAGTACCTTATTAACACAGGCAGCTCAATTATTTATGGTAATATCAGGGCAAGGACTCCAGGCTTTTGTTATATCCTGGCTAAAATAAATGCAGCTGTGTGACAATCTAGCCTGATTAACAAGGCAATAACAGAAAACAGAACAGTCATAAATCACTACCTATAGTCAGCACGTACATCCCTGAGACAGCCCCGATGCAGGCTGGTAAACCCACAGAATGCCGTACTGTGCACACAGCTGCAGAGGTTTCAGGTTCGTCTTAGCTCATATAGCACCAGCTCGGAAGTTTATGAACTTTAGGCAGACACTAATAGCATGCACCTGATCAGAGACGATCAAAAGCTGCTATATATGTAAGACACCTACACATAAAAAGAGGCATCACAAAGGATCTCACAATATCTGACTCCAAAAAACCGTTTTGTTATCTTGATCCAAACGATCAAAAAACCCACAGCAGTGAAAAGTTTCCAATGTCAGCCTTATTTCTACTAGTGACTGTGATCATTTGGAAAAGCTGCTGAAACATGGTCTTGGGGCCTCCTGAGCAGCAGAAAGTGCTACGCTCACTCTTTGTTTAAATTGAGAGGGTGCTCAGCAGAAGAACAGACCCAGCTCTCCATGCAGCACAGTATAGAAACTGCAGCATGATTTCTGTTCATCAGACACTGACTTCACTTAAAGGGACTGCAGGTATTTTAAATACAGTATGTAGTCTATAGCACAGCCTCCTAACACAACACACAAAAAGGCTTCACAATTTACAGTGCTACCTGCAAATATGAAATATTTGAATACATGAATATTTACCTGCTACCTGCAAATATGAAAAAGCAATTCAAGCAATAAAATTCAAGCAATAAAATCAGAGATTAATATTAGCCGCTTAAAATTCAGGAAAATCTGAGAGCAGAAGGGCTTTTAATTTTTTTCACAGGAGCTAAGGGGAGAAACAGATATCTGAGGGCAGCATCCCATGTGGCTCTGTTGTCCCAAAACAGCATGGAACCAGTCATATTGTAAGTTTTTGTCAAGTACTCTTTTGCTGTTAGTATTATTATGCCAATAGAAGCCAAGCATTCAAGTATGCTAATACAATCACGGTAAAAGAGTCACCACTTACAGCTTTAACATCCAAATTCATAATCCCTGAATTTACATTGTGTCTTCGCAAATCTGATCTTATTAAGGCTGAAACAAAAAATAAAGAGAAAGCTGGTTCACAACTTTGCAGTGACATGCATTTCAAGGGAAATATTTGAACAGTGAAAGCACACGGAAGCTGTCTTCAGCACATATTCAAAATACCTGTATTTACTCTTTCACAATTTGAACTTGCTCCTCACAAAGCACACACAGAAAATGACAATGAGAGCTTTTAAATCTTGAGTACATAAAGCAAAGCTCGATGGTTTTGGCACTTACACATGCTGGTACTTACAAATGTGCTGAAAGTCACTGGTACAGTTTAGGAATGCATCAGCGGTATGTGGAAAACTGCAAACTGTCTCCATGTATGTATTTGTTTACATTTACTATCCTAGTCTGGGTATAGACATCTGCCTCAAATTCAAGACATGACTCAAGAAATGGGTGATAGATGCCTGTCCGTATATTAGCAACATCATCCCTAAAACAACGGGTGTGCGCACAGCAAGCATTTAAAGTGAAAAACAAAGAAAACAAAGGAAAAAAACCAACCCAACAGCCCAAAACCTGCACTTACTTATAACTTCTGTCCTCAGCCCAGAGAGGAAGCCACATATTTAAATCCTAGATGTCCGAGACATCTAAAACTACCCAGAAATTCACTATCTCAAAAAACCCTTCCACATTTTGACATTAAAAAGAAGTCATTACTTACATTTCTGATTAATTACCTGTTAAGATAATGCCCACAAAAATCCAAGCACAAAGAAAGAGGTTTCCTGCACGAGGACTGTAGTTTGTTGTGAGTTTTCCTTGAACAAGTGTAAAGACAATTCCAAATATCTATAAACAAATAAGTCATTTTATCAGGATCACAAAGAAAAGAGCCATCACTTTACCTTGAAAAGTTTCAGGTCACATCTTACAGAAACTGAATTAAAAAAATTAAGACTACAGCAACACAGAGCAGCCAAGTCTAAGAAAGCTGCCTTAGATTTGAGTAGAGTGGCCTTCCGGAACCTTACTTCACTTGAAGAAATAAAATGATATAACCTGTGCTGATGCATTAAGGAGACCTGAGGAAGTGCCTTCAGACTCTGGGTATGTAATTTCCACAGCAAATTCAAACCCAAGTGGGAGATAGCCAGTCATGAAGAACCTGTTGAAGAGGAGAGTAAGAGGATGACAGGTATGGCCTTCATCTATTACTACAGCTAAGAAAATCAAACATAAACACATGGTATTATGAATAAGCTGGTATTCTGAACTGTCTTTTTTCAAGACCTAACATGACTCAATACTTGCTTTGCCTGCCTCATTCCCTTGACCTCATCCAACAATTTTAGCCGTACACCTCTCTTTTTGGGACAAAGATATTTTAACATATTTGTCCTGTTTCCCATAACCACCCCTGCTCCACTCCACACATATGAAACAACCTTCTCTGAGCAGTCCACAAGCCACTTCATAATTGAAGCCAGGTACTTTCAAATGAAAGATGTACACCAACATCATCATTTGATCAGCCCAAACATCCAGGCCGGAGGACAAAGAGAGACCATCAGTAGGGAGTGAGGCTGGACACCGGAAGGGCCGCTGGAAGCTGCTGTGGAAGAAGCTGAGGGGACTGATGAGTGACAGGAAGGGCAGGATCTTGATGCAGTTGAGGTTGGTTGATTGGTTTCTAAACCGAAATGCTCAAAACGTTTCTGACTCTACCTCGCTGTGTCTGGATACAGCGCTATTCCCTCAGTATCTTTTGGGGCTTTTAGATTATGTATCTAATGCGAAGTGCTCACGCTATTCTGAGTGAACAAAGCACCCACCACGTCACTTGGACTATGAAAACATAGATTAATCAATATGCACAGAAGCCAGTCTTCCTATATTTGCTCAGTTAAACTCTAATCACTTATCCACCGGTCAACAGAAAGATTCAACTTCACTGCAGACAGTTAATAAAAATTTAACATAAAAATGTTAAATGAAATTCACTGAAGAGTGAGTTACTTTACATTCATTCTGATGTAACAGAATGTGAAATCTTAGTAAACCTTATCTGTACTGTGACCGATAGGCATAGGTTGAGAGCATGGTGACAGAATATACAGTAGAATCATTTAGTTAAAACCGTTTAATATTGTTTCTGAACAGAACTGCAGTAAGTCTTCTAATTCTCTTTAATTGCTTACCCGAGTACTCCTCCAGTCACGAACACTACTATAAGGTATTTGAGGTCCAGGGTGAAAGTAAATACCACCAACCCAATGAAAGAGAGAATGTAAACAATCAAAGTAGTTTGCCTGCAACCCAACCAAAAAAAAATTAAACATTGTTAACATAAGGTCACAGCACATTGCCAAAGCATGGAAAAGTAACACAAACATTACTTACTCTCTGACATTCTACAGCTATGAAATTTGCTTCATGTAATTCTGATTCAAACATATCATGCAGTGAGAACATATACCTTCCCGAACTCTTTATTGCCTTGGTTATATTGCTGCTTCGCTCAAGGCTAAAAGACTTGCTCAGACTCTGAAAGAATGGACAATCACAGCAGATACTATTACCTCAAGACTATTTTAGTTCTCCACTATGTTGTACCTCTTGGCCATTCTGCAGCGCTAGCCATTATAAAGAGATCAATATACGAGCAGCCAAATCGAACACTATTAGCAAGAAAAGTCAGCCTAAGCAGCAAGTCAAACAAGTCTCATTACAATGTTCTATTTATTTTAAGTCTGAAATAAGGGATGTCATCCAAAATATTAAAGCACACGTCACTTATTGATAAGCCAACACACATGCAGAAACAAAGCCAATTTACAGCATTAACATCCATTAGGTTTCTAGACCTCTTGCACATAACGTACTAAGAGTCACAGGGGAGAACTACTCCACCGTAAGCAGCGTTCCAGGGCACTGCCCACTCTTGGGGGGCACCACACCACAGGTGATGGACCTGGGAGTTCCAACTCCAGAACAGAGTTCTGCTCCACAGTCATCCTCTGAATTAAAGCAAATGTTATGCCTACTAATAGGACCAGGAGTAGTATTAAAAAAGGGAATCCCTCAACTGTCCATTTTACAAACCAATGCAGAGTAGGGTTTGAGCCTTTATGCTTTCCTAGGAGAAGGAGCCTGATGGGGCACCTGGCCACTGTACGTAGGACATACAGTGCTTTCCTTGGTAGCCTTACACTCCTGAAGAGACAGGAGTAGACTGAAAACCCCTTCGCATCTTTGCATTCTCCTCTCTCATTTCTTTTGGCCGAGAACCAGTAAAAGTTTCAAGCTTTTGCTGTAGCCTCCGAAACTAGCCTCCATCAAGGCCGCTAAAAGATCAAGGATGAACTGCCTTTTATCATCAGTTCACTTCAGCCCTTACGTTGCAGTATTTTTCTAATGCAATTGCACCGCTCTCCTACCCCTAACCCCACACATGCCTACCCACACTTACTTGTATGTTTTAGTGTAATCCAGCCACAAACCACAAATTATCGAACCCACCATTCCTGCCACCACCAGTGTCAAGCCAATTCTCCCAGCGTTCACTTCTTCTCCCTTTCAACAAATATTTATATGGTGCTCATTAATAACTTGCTTCCACTTAAAGTCAAGTTCAGACCTCTTGGCAGTCATAAGCGTAAACATTCCTATGACTCCCATAGCTGTATGGTGCAAGAAACTGTAGGGGGGTATAAAGGAAACCAAACGTCTGAGCACGCATAGCACCTACATAATAATACATCACCTTTTCAAATGTACAGTAAAAAAGAAAAAATACAAAGACGATCCAAGAAACTTACCTCATAATGAGTTACTATCATCTGGTTTAATAATGTGGAGACAGAATAAAATGCCCCAGTCATAATACCTGCGATACCAAAAGAAAAGCTTCAGTTATTCTAGGTGTAGCCACGCAGATCTGCTACCCCAAAGAGTTCATCTTCTGCTATTTAAGACTCACATCAGAGGCAAAACCTTTTATCCGCCAGGTAAAAATCTCTTCACCAAACCTACAAATGGTATTTTGAATCCTGACGGATTTTCCAGAACTGGCTGCTCAGTAATTAAAAGTTTGACACACCCTCCCCCATAAAAAACTAAAACTCAGTGTGCTGTCGGCACACATTTCAAGCGTTCTGCCAGAGTACGGCCAGACAGCACCACTTACCGTAACTGATCAGCAAAAGTACGAATGGAATATTTTTGAACAAGTTAATAATCGACTGCTTGTAGGAGTAATCCTCAGGAGGTATAGTTTGTAGGACTGCTTGAGAGTGACTAGGAGGGTATTTGGGCTTTTCTTCAAACACTGGGGAAAAAGAAGGAACAATTTTGATTTGTCTTTACCAGACTAATGCTTTTTCTTTTTGAAGAGTTTCAGATTGATGAATTTCAGAAGATTCACCTGTTGTTTTTAACACTTCCATGAAAAAAATATTCTAGATTTTCTCATGGAAGAATCGAGTCACAGCCACAAAGGCACAAATGCTAATTATTTGGTCATATCTGATTCCTACCAACATACGGTCATAGACAGACTTCAACTGCAATATGTCTAGACCTTTGTACTGAATTCTAAGATTAACAGAGAGAATTCATGTTATATCATAACGTCCTTGTAGCAAAAAGCCTAAAGTGAACTAGATATGCTGAGAGAGGTCACCCCACGTGAAGCACGACATACAGTAAACTGGTTGTCGCTTAACCCCAGCGCAACAGGTAAGTGAACACACGTCATCTGGAGAAAATGTAACCTCAACTACTTCGAGCAAAGTCAGATGCTTTAAGTAAGATGTTGTAAACACTCCCCTCTGGTCACCATTTAAATTACAAGAACTGAATGCTTACCGACTCCTGTTAAGAAGAATAAAAGCGTGGACACTATCGCTGTTCCATAGAACATGATGCTGATGTTATGTGCCATTAGATCGAGATCGTTGGGTGTATTTGGAACCAAAACAGGTGGCAACAAAAACCCAATTGCAGTGCCAAGCTGTAAAGCAAGAAGAAAACACCAAAAAATAATTTTCCTGTGAACATAAAAATTAACAGAAGTGAAAAGTCTTAGCAGGTAGAATTCAGAATTTATAACATAATAAGTATTAATAAAACTATAAAGGAAAAGTGTTCCTTTTATGTCATACTTCTGAGCCATTTGCTCTCAATAACACTTCACAATCAGGTCTTCCATAACTCACGTTTTAGCCTTTTCATTTCTATATTAAACTACAATACTATACCTAGTATATAACGCATTTAACAACTACGCATTAAGGAAGTTTTTTTGCAGAAGAATCTTTCACAGGAAAATACTGTGCGTGCACATAAATTTGTATCAGTCATCCTGCAGCTGAAGGCCTAGAGATAACAGAAGGCTCCAGCTACTCTTGTAGAAACGCTATTCTCTTTTTCTCCATCAAAACACTCTGCTTGATGTCACGATCCTGCCACTACAGTAACAAAGTCTGACATGCAAGGTTTATTACAGAACTGATAGAGCAGAGAAGAGCAAGAGAAAAGGAGCAGCCTTAGTAAGAAACACAAAACCAAAACCTACACCTGCAATTATTGCTAAGGAAATCAAGAAAAAACACAAAATAAAGCAGTAGTGGGTTTGTATCAGGAGTCAACTCCAATGCAGCAATTGAATTTGTATCAAAAAGAGACAAAAAACAAGTACTGAAGTTTTGGGTATATATATATAAAGCATTGTAAACATAAAGGAACAACAGTCTTGGACTACTCTCAAATTTATCTCTGCTGTTCCTCCAAAAATAAACTGCATTTTAAAGTGTTAGAACATTTTTTTTATTTTTTTTTTACTAAAAAAGCCCTCTGTGTCTGTTTCAGGTTAAAAAAAAAAAAAAAAAAAAAGAGAGCACCAAAGACTGTTAGAGTAGCAAGTCCAATGCTCAGAAAGTACTCAAATTAGAGGTGTGCCAATGTGCTTACAAAGCACCCTTTGTGCATATGCCTGATGAGGGTTTTGACGCCTTTCCCCCCCTGCCCCAGACCATCAGATTTACACAATATCCAGTGCTCACCTGAAGAATTTGTCTCTTTTAATCCTCACCCTTCAGTATATGAACCCTACAAACATGAACCGAGTAGACAATTACTCTTTTTCTTAAGGTATGTTTTTTCCTCCCCCAATGTGAGCCAATACAGTACCCATAATATTCCAAGAAAGTCAAGTGACACCATTTTTCACCTTTTACATCTAGAGAGGTTAAGGCCAGAAGGCTTGAGAGTCCAAATGAGTCTGGTGTGCTCAGTTTAAGATGCAAAATACTTGTGGAAATCTGGTACCCTTGACAGGTACATCGCTGCATTCCCAGTGAATTGTGTTTCAACTGCAAATGATCAGCATCTCGAGATAATGGGTGCGATCTGATTTTTCATAACTACTCTGTCTCTCCCCTGCCTGCGGTCCCAGCCCTGTTGGCTGTAGCTCTGCAGTTATGCAAAGTATCTGATCAGAAACTGGATGACCAACATATCATGTTGGTCATAGCCACTCGATTCTGTTACATAGATCACCTTGTGCAGTTAAACAAGTACATTGAGACTGTACCGTAACGCGTATGCATAAGTGAATTGCATGGGGATATACAGACAACATTGCTTCTAGCTTCCAAGTGCCTAATATGTCATTTCACTACTCTTTCAATCTACCTTTTGAGAGGGTTTTTAAAGAAAAGCAAAAAACGAGAACAGAGAAATTCTATTGTTAGACACTGTATCAGTCTCCATGAGTCACAAGCAGGACTGGGAAGTTAAGACCTACAGAGCACACAGCTCTGAGGTAGCAGGGTACGGCACAGCTGCAGAACAAGGCATTATCCTCTGCGCAGGACTGCCAGAGGGTGATGAAACACACTTTGTCAGTGCCTTTCACAGGTGTTTCCTGGCAGAGGACCATCAAGCACCAGTCCTAGCTTCTGGAGGGGAATACGCTCCAGAAATAACTAAGGTTTATTTTGTTCACACCGCTGCTCCGGTTTTCCTTGCCTTTCTTGTCGTTCCCCTCTACACAACCCCTGCACTCCTGCTGCTGTCCTGCACCACTTCAACCCCCAGATCTCAGCAGCTGAGCGAAGCATCTGTTTCAGACTCCAAGCTGGATCCTTGGTACTGTATTGCAGAACTGAAACCCCAGTAACCCCTTGTTACTGGGAGGACTGGTCCATATCAAGAAGAGTGGAAATTTAGCTGCCAAAGAAACCTTTAACCTGATTCCAGAACACAGATGCAAAATTTTTGCTCAACTGCTAAAACAACCAACCAACAACACTCAAAGTCTTCAGTCCAAAAGGGACAGCTGACTTGTCCTCTGGAAGACTTCAATGCAAAAAAAAAAAAATTGTTTTGGAAAAGCATTGGGAAAACTGTAATCAGCCAAGTATAAGCTAATGAGTAACCCTAATCGTAAAAATGTAATGCTAGGATTATTGCTGTAATAATCCAAAGTGCACAAACATAAAATCATTAGAGTCACATAAGGAAAAAAAAAAATCCCCTGTTACCTTAATCAAACTGTACCTACAACCTCAGCCTGCACCAGTAACATTGATGGGAATCTTAACATTTTGTTGCCACAGAAAAGCAGGGACAGTGGCAAGGGGTGAGAACAAGGCTATGGGAGGAAAAAAAAAAAAAAACAAACCATCAGCATCGTATCTTCACCTGCGCTTTCAGATACACCTGTTCTGGCTCTCTGAAATGTGCCAGGACCAGGGAGCTTGAGGAAATCTACAGCTCAGTTATCAGCTCCCCATAGCGATGTGAACTATCACAGAAATATGAACTATCACAGAAATACGGAAAACTTCATGAGTCACCAGGGCATCGACTGCTGGGACTTAGTGATTCGAGGCCATATTTTAGAAAGCAGAAACAAATATATGTTGGCATTGGGGCTCTCTGTGAAAGTTCACATACTTCACCTCCCTCCAGCCATGGGTGGATTCAGTCAGGTGAATGATGCCAAACGCAAGAGAAAAAGACGCCAAACGTAATCAAATCAATGCCGCGCCAAACTCCAAGGAAGCCCGCTTCCCCAATGGCTCCCTTGCCCCCCATCCCTATACCTGGTTGCCCAGCACTGCCACGGCGCAGGCAGTGGAGACCTCGGCGGGGCCGAACCAGACGGATGCGATGCGTGAGGGCAGCCCCAGAATGAAGACCTGGGCGACGGCGCAGACGGCCTGCGCCGCCAGGGTGAGGGGGTACCGGTCGGGGGCCAGGCTGGCACACTTGAGCCAGGCGCCCAGGCCGTTGAGGCC